GTTATCTTAAAATACTAGCAAATAAGTTATTATGTTAAAAAATTAGTTTTTATTTATAGAATGAGTACTTATTGTCATTTGTCAACTTTTGTATTTAATTCCACCTGCACTTGATTAGTTCACATTGAATTACTAATTAACCTTTGTATAATTCTATAATATTTCTTGTATCCTTTTCTGCATTAATTTTGCTCTTCACAAAACCTTTTCGCCTGCATTCATTTTTAATGCCTTGCACTTTTGACTTTTTACGCCAACAGGTCGTATGAGTAACCTTATTTACCTTTAATTAAATTTTAAATGCAACGCGCAAATGGAACCCATTCGTTCATGTCAAGTGCTATTATTTTCATTCACAGAATATATTCAATTAATTATTTAGAATGATTGAAATAGCAACAAATAAAGTTATTATTTTACTTTTGATGTAACTTTAAAGTAACACTAATTATTTATTTGTAAGTTAACATTAAATTGAATTTTAAAGTTAACTAAGAATTGAACTAATAGGTCCTTCGCCCCCTTTAAAGTAATATTATCTATTATTACTTAGAGAAATAAATAAATTTTAATAATAATTGAATATGGATACATTAACGTTTTAAGCATTTTACGAAAACATTGTACAGACCAGAATATTATTAAACAGAATATTATTATTATTATGAATATATAATTAGATCAGAACATATAGCTCACAATTGCAATAAGAATGCTGGTATATGAAAATAAACCTATGTTTAATCTGAACATATTGTTGCCTTATCCTATTCTATTCAGATGTTCATAATATTAAGTTTTGTATATAGACAATAGTATGAAAAGGATGGCGCTTAGATATAGATTTATTAATGGTAATTTATGTTAGATTCTGATCCTTATGATGACTCTCAAGAAGAGTCGAAATATAGAATATATTATAAAATGTTAAACGTTGAATTTTAATTTTAATAAAAAGTGACCTATAGCCGGATAAAAAATATATAAAAACCATTATATTCCTAATATAATATTCACAAAGTATCACATCGTTTTGAGTATTTTCCTTCTAAACGCAAAGAAACTTAATTATTTTAGCACAAAATACCACCGATTGCAAAATATATATTCCTGAATGGATTAAACTATGTTTAACGTTAGGATCTTGCAGCCTAAAGAGCAATTTTAAGACTGTCAGTTTTATACGAGAGAACAAAACTGAGTATTTGGACGTTTACATTTTTTTGAAACGTTTAAGCATCACTTTTTCTCTCCAAATCTAGCCTAACATGTTTAAAGATGAGATTCTTTCTGTGAAAGAAAATATCATAAATGATTGCTAAGATTATTATTATAATAGTATTAAATTATGGTTAACTTAACATATTGTTCGCTGAGGAAAATATTCTTAACCTAACAGTTTCATATACACCTAATTTCTTTTATTTGGTTGATGATATGCAAGACTATAGTTTACCGAATTATACTTTCATACCTTCAGGTGGGTAATTGAGTTCTGTCTTATTTGCTGATGAAATAAACTTTATATTCAAAGACAATAGTAAAGTTTGAAAGCATATTTATTTAAATAGTTTTTTATTATTGTGTTATATATATGGAGCAATAATATAGTATTTATAATTGTTTTGATTTTAATATATAATATACACACAAATTCATCTATAATATTTGCAAAGTTAAAATTTTTTTAATATTATTTTTTTTCTATATATAATAATTATTTAATTATCGTATAAATTGCATATAAATAATTATTAAAATAATGAGCTTTTATATATATATATATTTTATATATTAATAAAAAAAAAATTAATGTTAACCAATTGAAACAAATGTAGTTAATTAATATAAGAAATTATATTGACATTAAAAAAAACATTTTTATAATAAATTAATAATAAAATTTAATTAGTAATGCAACAAGAAATCTCATAATAAATTTTTTCTAATTATTTTGCCAATATAGTTCAGTTGATCAGTAAATATTTTATTTAACTGAGTGCCCCAGCACGAGAGCAGATAAAAATAATTGTTTGTAAGAAAGTCAAAAACCATCTTACACCCACTTCCAGATAAAAGCCTATCCCAATCAAACATACACCATACCCACCAAAAAAATCAGAACCAAAAAAAGTGCAAAGCTACAAAATATCTTCAAAATCTTTTGAATTTTCAAAGATTTAATTAATTTTTTTTTATTTTGCATAAAAAATTATTTCTTAATTTTTATTTTTGATTTTAAATTTCATTGAAGTGCAATTTTAGTTGAATTATTTTGCTTTGACAATTGCTACGCGTGTCTTTACTGTACTTTTGCACCCTCTTCTAAAAATTTTTGATAAATTATAATAAAATTGAATTAAATTAATACTAATTAAGATTTTTCAATAATTAATTAAACTAAAGAAAATTATTTTTCACAAAAATCAAAAATTCCAAACGAAAAGGAAAAGTGTTTTCAAAAAAAAGTATTGACAAAAATCTTCACCTAAAGGACTTCCACGTGTACCGTAATCCCGTGATGGTGAACGATCAACTGTTGGCAATTCCGTGAGTCGCCTGGAACGACCCGGGCTGCGTACACCAGAGCTAGTTACAGGATTGTAGTCGTCTCGTGACATAATATACCGCGGTTAATCCGCGGTTTTTTTGCCTTTGAGCGACAGACACGTTATTTATTTATTTTCTTATAATAAAAATTCTTAATGATTTCTCTTTTTTTTAATGCTTTTGTTTTGTTTTGAATGTCTTAGAATTTGCGAGGGATATGTGTGGGTGGGTACTAAGGTATTTTGTCTATGTCACGTTTATTATCTGTAAATGTAGAAAAATACAAGTAGAAAAATAACACGTAAGAATGTATAGAACAACAGATGAAAATTAGAGAAAAAGAATTAGAAAAAAATAAATAAATAAAGTAAAATAAACACAAAAATAAGTAACCGCAAAATGAAAATTTGGAAAAAAATTCGAAAAGTAATTACCGTAAGGGAAAAAAAGATAACATAAATAAGGAAAAATTTTTTTAAAAATACTTGAGTTCAAATATTTACTGGTACATTTGCAATATATTGACATTTTGACATTTTGATTGAGGCTTAAAAAC